ATATATATATATATATATATATATATATATATATATATATATATATATATATATATATATATATATATGATGAATCATACAACAATCATACAACAATCATATATATATATATATATATATATATATATATATATATATATATATATATATATATATATATATATATATATATATATATATATATATATATATATATATATTTATGTATATATATATATATAAAAAAAATATATATATATATATATATATATATATATATACATTTATATATATATATATATATATATATATATATATATATATATATATATATATATATATATATATATATATATATATATCCCAGTAAGCACATGAACGTTTTTTACACGTTCGAAATGACAATACCTAAAAAACGTTTAAAAAAAAGCGTTTAAAAGTCGTTCTAAAAAAGTTGTTTAAAAAACGTTTTAAAAAAAACTTTCTTAAATAACTCAATTTAAACCATAAAAAGACGTCTTTTAAACGTTTAAAAGACGTTTCTTTTCATAAAATATTCCTAAATCCATAGGTTATGGATTTAGGAATATTTTATGAAAAAGAATTATTAAATAGTTTGATAGAACCTGTTGGTTGAAAAATTAAGAAATATATAAAGTTTATATAAAAAATCTTTTAAAATTATTTTTTCAAACAATTTACAAACAAAGTAAAACCGTAACGATGATATCTGTTGGATTTAAGGCACTTTAACACGACTAAAAGTTGCCTGCTTTAACGAATCAGTACTTATTGCATCGATGATTGACTCTGTGTATGATTCGTGAGCAGTTGATGGACAAACTAAAAGAATAAACTATATATTTAAAACTGACAATCTGAACAATAAATATTGTATTATCTTAATAATGAATAGCCGAATGAATATTATTATTAATGCGCATAGTTACGCGTATTGTTTTATAGTTACGGTACGGTTCTGTATCTGTAAAATATACTTTTTAAGTAGTTTTTAGACTTTTCCTTACCGCGTGCTTTCTTAAAGATTTCCTTTCAACCTTTCATGGTACGAGTTCAAAATGTCCAAGTTGACATTAAGTAGCTAATGTTTAGTAGCTTAAAATTATAGGAAATTGGAAATTTTTTTTAAATTTAAAAATAATTAATTTATTGTAATCTTTTTTAAATTGTAATTTTAAATTTAAAGCTTCGTGTTATAGATTACTTTAATTCTTAAATTGTGTCTAGCATTAACATACATGGGTAGTTTCATGCTTTCACATAGTTTTGGTTATTGGGATAAAAGCCATGACAACATTTTGTTATAAATTTATCTTAATTTAATTTTTATTAAAAATTTTGTTATAAATAAAATTTATCTTTAATATTGTTAATACTTTTGCTCTTTGAAAAAAAATATGTTTCTGGCTCTTCAATAAATATAAAATAATTTGTCTTGCATAAATGAATTTTGGTTTAGGATTTAATTGTGTTATTTATGTTTGTCTATCTGTAATTTATTTAGGTTATTAGAAAATTCATGTTTACAGAGTTGTTATTAATCATAATTGAGTTGTTAAACCAAGGAAATTGTGGAGGTTTATTTATCATATATACTATATATATTATATAATTATATTGGAGGGAGTAAGTTTAAAAGCATTTTTAAATTGTACTTTTAAATTTAAAGCTTCGTGTTATACATGTTAATATTGAAAATATAGATTACTATAATTCTTAGATGGTGTCTACCATTAAAAGATATTTATGGGTAGTTTCATGCTTTCAAATGCTTTTAATAATTGGGATTAAAGCCATGACAACATTTTGTTTTAAATAAAATTTATCTTTAGTATTGTTAATACTTTGGCTCTTTGAAAAAAGATATGTTTTTTTTCTTCTCAAAATGTTTAATAATTTGCCTTGCATGATTGTATTTTGGTTTAGGATATAATTGTGTTATTATATGTTTGTTTTTCTATTTATATCTAATTTGAAAAGATTTAATCTAAAGTTAAGGTATATATAATTTATTTAATTTAAAATTAAGATATAAAATAAAATATCTAATTTATAAAGATTTAGATCATTAGAAAATTTATATCTACAGAGTTGTTATTAATCATAATCAAGTTGTTTAGCCAAAAAAGTTGTAGAGGTTTGTTTATCAAATATACTATATATGTTATATAAAAAATTTTGGTTTTCATATGTTTTCGCTAATAAATAGTTCTATATATATATATATATATATATATATATATATATATATATATATATATATATATATATATATATATATATATATATATATATATATATATATATATATATATATATATATATATCTTTATATATATATATATATATATATATATATATATATATATATATATATATATATATATATCCAATTTCCTATAATTTTAAGCTACTAAACATTAGCTACTTAATGTCAACTTGGACATTTTGAACTCGTACCATGAAAGGTTAAAAGGAAATCTTTAAGAAAGCACGCATTTATTGAAGCACATTTTCTATACTGATTCTATATTTAATTTTTTTACTTTTTTTTTTAGTTTGACACTAAAAAGATCTTTAATTATTTTCTACTAACAATTCATATCCTTAACAATGGATCTCAATAATCCAATTAATATATTTGCCGTTCAAGATAATAGTAGTATAATAAGCCAGACTATAATTGATCATGTGGTATTATTTTTTAATCATGTTGATAAAATTTATTAATTATACATTTATTATTTAGTTATTTCATTATTATTCATTATTATTGATATCATATAATAATTCAAGAAGATATTATATAGTTGTTATTAATTATAATATAATTATTATCATTTAATGTTAGCTCCTTAAAATTCGTGTATTTTATGTGTTAATTTTCTAATTTATGCCAGTTATATGAAGAAATATAATGTTCAATGATATATAATTTTGATAAATAAAACTTCAATAAATTGATAAATAAATTGCATCATTATTATATTCAGATTCCATTAGAAGAAGAATATAGTGTGGATTTTAATGTAGAAAAAGATGAAGACAAAAAAGGTAAAACTTATGCATATTATCATGCATTCTGTATATATATATATATATATATATATATATATATATATATATATATATATATATATATATATATATATATATATATATATATATATATATTATATATATATATATATATATATATATATATATATATATATATATATATATATATATATATATATATATATATATATATATATATATATATATATATATATATATATGTATATATGTATATATATATATAGATATATAGATATATAGATATAGATATAGATATAGATATAGATATATAGATATAAATATATAGATATAGATATATAGATATAGATATAGATATATAGATATAGGTATATAGATATAGATATAGATATATAGATATATTGCGCTTGATCCAATACATCCAAGGTGCTTGTTAAGAAATAACTTGTTCTTAACAGACACCTTGATTTCGGACTACTTTACCACCTTTGAATTTACTTTATTATTTACAAACCAGAAAAACAGAAAATTATATAGTAAAGTTTACACAATAGGTGATATATATATATATATATATATATATATATATATATATATATATATATATATATATATATATATATATATATATATATATATATATATCAGGCTTGGTCGGGAAGCGGGTGCGATCGCACTCGATATTTGACCACGGAAATTATATTTAGTTGCGAAAAACCGGCCAGATTTTTTAGGCGTTTTGAGAACATTTTAAAAACAAGCAAAAAAGCGCAATAAGATAAACTGGACCGATGAGAGACAGTTAAAAAAAGAAAAATAGTTTAAAAAAAGTGACATTTTTTGTATATAGTAATAACGTACTAATAATGATTGTTTAATAAAGAAGCAAATGTTCTTCAATTTATCAAAGATTATATATAATTTTTATTTATATACTTATGACTTATTTCCAGTGCTGGAAATAAGAGGTGGGGGGGGAGTAGAAGAGCTATAGTCCCGGGACACACAATGTTATGGACCGAGAAATAGTCAAGAGGACCTATCGGTATTTTTAAGTCATTTTTACGCTGTCGCACATAAAAAAGACCACCAAAATAATGCAGCCCCCGTCCCTGTAAAGTCCAACAAGATTAAACCAATTAAACTAACGCTACATAATTTAATTATAAATAAAAAAAGTTTTTTCAGTACCTGTTTTATGCTTCGCTTAGTTTGAAAAGTTTAACATATTTGAAACAATTCTTCTTAGTAAGATAAACAAATGAAATAACTAAATCATTGAGTTACTGTGGAAATTTAATTAGCTAGATAGAAATTAACTAAAAACGTTAAATTACTTAGTAAGGAGGAAGCGGAACTGCTTAACAATATTGCTGATAATGTTTAGTGAGTGGGCTTTATATCTTTAACTAGTATTTTACAGAAAAAAGTAACTTTAAGTGTAAGTATAACGAGTTTGTAAGAATGGCTGAAGCAAAAATAGTTGAAGTTAATAAACCAATTTCTAATACATTACATACATATAAATATATCCCTTATATATAAAAAATAAGATTATACTAATTAAATCTATAATATATTTACAAAACGTTGACAAGTTTAAAAATATAAATTTAAAACATTTATTTTTGTAAACAAATGTTAGTTTAAAACATTTATAGCTTTGTAGATGTGACTCCGAGAATGAGCCACTGTATTGAAATAATTGTTCGCTTGATAGTATATTCTTAAAGCAATTGATGCTAGAAATCTCAACGAAAACATAACAAAACTCAAATTATACGATTTTGAAAAATAATTCAACAGAATACTCTAGAACATTCGTATGAATTCTTTAGTAATTTCAGTTATTTATTAATTGAACCAATAGAATTAGTTGTTCGTAAATTTGGCGGGTTTTTTTGTGTTTGCGAATATTCTTTATTTATTTTTCCGCACTAAGATGTTTGACAACATTCAAGTTTATATAAGTTTCCATGTACGTCCGTAAAACAAAATCTTTTAAAATTTACGATAAAATGAACTTATTATTTTGCGGACAAACAAGGAAACATACATAAATTGAAATGTTCTCAAAACGCCTGAAAAATCTGGCTGGCTTTTCGCAAGTAAATATAATTTCCGTGGTCAATTATCGAGTGCGATCGCACCCGCTTCCCGACCAAGCCTGATATATATATATATATATATATATATATATATATATATATATATATATATATATATATATATACATATATATATGCGGTAGTGGTATAGTGGTAGAGCGCTCGCCTCATAAGCATAAAGTTCCAAGTTTAATCCCTAACCTGTCCCTGGTAGTTAATTGGCAACATCATTTTTCCTAATGCCGAGGGTTGATAAATTAGGGCGTGATATGGGCCACCTATTTTCTAAAAAATATCTTTTCATATTCCTTAAATTTTTTATTGGTTCTGATAAGCAACTTTGTTAAACTTGTTCAAAATTTAATTGGATTTAGGGGGAGCACCAGATCCATGAACGCTTACCAGGTCCCTAATATTATATAAAAAAAGTTTTTCAAAAGTATGTCACGGTATGAATGTGGATGTCACACCCTAATATATATATATATATATATATATATATATATATATATATATATATATATATATATATATATATATATATATATATATATATATATATATATATATATATATATATATATATATATATATATATATATATATATATATATAAACGTACCTTTTATTATATTGCATAGCTTGGTCAGACTAAACGATCATTTGTTTTTTCCAGCCTCCATATTAAATTTGATCATGAATGAATTTGTCATAAAACTAAAAATACCATAAATTCAAAATATTATATTTTATAATATATGAAATCATATTTAACTACTCTATTCTACTCTAAAATGTTTTTTTTTTTTCCTCATAACTTAAATCTAAAGGTTTTATTAAATTTAACAATACAGTTTATCTATTAATTATTATAATTTAAAAAAAAAGCATACTAACAATTAGTGCAGTTCAGATCATTAGTGTACACTAACTATTATTTTAGTCATATATATAAATATTGTCTGGGTTAAAAGAATTGTTTGGAATAAAGTTTAAGCTAGGATAACCTATAGCTTTAAACTTGCAAACTGGCAAAAGTGTGAATTGACAAAATTGCGCCAAACAAGTTTGCAAACATTACGAATAAGCATATGTGCAAAATTTGAATAAGTAAAAAACAGTTACAAAAATTGGCAGAAGTGCGAACTGATATAAGTGCGCGTAATAAATTTGCAAATATTGGCATAAGTGCTATTTGGCAATTTGCCCTTATGCTAGTTTGCAGTTATGCCAGTTTGCCCTTATGCCAATGCTTGCAAATTTATTTGGTACACTTATTCCAGTTCGCATTTATGTTGTTTGCACTTTTGCCTGTTTTTGCAACTGCTTCACACTTATACCAGTTCCCACTTATGGCAATTCACACTTATGAGAATGTTTTAAATCTATTTAGCGCACTTATGCCGATTCGCACATATGCTAGTTTGCATTTATACAGCTTCTGCAACTGTTTCAATATAATAATAATTCGCAATTATGTCAATGTTTTCAAATTCGTTCGACGCACATATGCTTTTACCCTTAGGCTAGTTTGCAGTTATGTCAGTTTGCACTTCCCAGTAAGCACAATAACGTTTTTAAAACGTTTCTTTAACAAAAAAAAAACGTTTGTTAAGCGTTCAGAATGGCAATACTTAAAAAAAGCATGTTTAAAAAACGTTCAAAAAAAACGTTTAAAAACGTTCTTAAATAACCCAATTTAAACAATAAAAAAACGCTTTTAAACCTTTAAAAGACATTATTTTTCAGGAAACATTCCGAAATCCATAAGTTCTATTATTAAATTGTTTGAAAGAACCTGTTGGTTAAAAAAACAAGAAAAATTTATTTAAAAGTTATTTTGTAACTTACTTTTTTAAAACAATTTACAAACAAAGTAATATCGTAACGATGATATCTATTGGATTTAAGGCACTTTAACACGAGTAAAAGCTGCCTGCTTTAACGAATCAGTAACTATTGCATCGACAATCAAATCTGTGCATGATTCGTGAGAAGTCGATGCACAAACTAAAAGAATAAACTATATATTTAAAACAGAAAATCTGAACAGTAATAATAGTATTATAATAAAATAATAATATAATAGTATAATAATAATAATAGCAATAACAATAATAATAATAATAATAATAGCAATAATAACAATAATAATAATAATAGTAACAACTTTTTAAACTACAAATATATGTTTTAAAAATATATATATATACACATTGCATTTTTATATATATATATATATATATATATATATATATATATATATATATATATATATATATATATATATATATATATATATATATATATATATATATATATATATATATATATATATATATACTGCTAAATACCACGCAAAGTCGACACTGTTTAAAAAGATATTTTAAGGCGACATAAAATTTTTTTTTTTTTTAATTTTTTAAAACATATTTAAGATAAATAATATAAAAATAACATGTATAAAATATTATATCATAAATTTATACATGTTTTACCTCTAAAATCCTAAACTTAGAAAAATTGTCGCCTTTAACTTGCAATATACACGCAAATATACACTAACGTCGCCTTTATAGCTATTTTTTTCATTCTCATTCATATACGGATCTAAACTTAGTGCTTATTTTCCTCTAAAAATGTTTCAAAAATAAAACTATCCTACATAGATTAAAAACATGGTAACTAGGTTTCTTCTTTGCAATTGTTTTAAATTATGCAAAGCGCGGGAATGACTCCATATTTTACATTAAAAAATAAAGGCGACGCGATTTTGTCGCCTTTATATATGTGTCTCCTTTATCGCGCAATTTTTCATACAAAGTGTCGACTTAACCGGCATGAATATATATATATATATATATATATATATATATATATATATATATATATATATATATATATATACATATATATATATATATATATATATACTATATATATATATATATATATATATATATATATATATATATATATATATATATATATATATATATATATATATATATATATATATATATATATATATATATATAAATATATATATATACATAAATATTTATATATATATATATATATATATATATATATATATATACACATATATACAGTAGTATATACTCCCACAATTTTTCAATGGGGTTCAGGTCAGGACTTTGTGGAGGCCATTCAATAGCATTGGTACGAGCATGTTTTAAATATTCCAATACTTTCTTAGCTCTGTGGCAATGAGTAATGTCCTGTTGAAAGAATAATGGTTTATTTTTACCAAATAGTTTGTTTGCTCATGGTTTCATTTGTGTTTTTAAAATTTCCAAATATTTATCCTGGTTTACTGTGCCCGTACAACAATATAAATGACCTACACTTAATCCTGACATGGAACTCCATACCACAGAGTGCCTCCTCCATGGTTTACTGTGGGAGAGGACTAAATCATTCACTAACTCTTCTCCTTACATAAGCTTTTTTAGCTCTACAGAAAATAGTAAAGATACTTTCATCACTCCATAACACTTTATTTCTATGTACGACAATCCAGATTTTGTGCATCTTTGCGAATACTCTATTTTTCGCGATGTTATCTGGTCGCAATAAAAGCTTCTTCGCAACAAGTCTCCCATTCAAACCAGCTTGCTGCAGGCGTTTTCTAACTCTCCTTGCTGCCAGATGAATTTCATCGTTTTTCCCCATGTAGCTTATAAGATCTGAAGCTGTGGCAAAACGATTGGACTAACTCGCCCGAACCTAAGGCTGATCCTGCTTTACGGTAGTTTTACAAGATCGGTATACAAGGGAAATGCAATCCATTTTTAGCAGGATGGAGTTATTTACATCACCATTTAGTATTTTAAATTTTTTATCATTTGATATACCACACCAATTATTAAAGAGTTATTAGGGTTTATAATTTCAACTATTACACAAAAACTTATCGTTTTAACTACAATTCAAAAACTTATTGCCTCATTATCTCAATGAATAAATATGTATATATTTTATATATATACTATATATATCTATATATATAGTATACTAATATATATATAATATATATATACTATATATATATATAATAGCTATAGTATATATATATATAAGTATGTATATATATAATATATATAGTATATATATATATATATACTAGATATATATCATATATAATATAGTATATATATATATATAATAGTATATATATAATACTATATATATATATATTATATATAGATATATATATGGGCGCCCGCCAATGGGGGGTAAGAGAAGACACTTTCTCTACCCCCCCCCCCCCCATCTTGTATTTTCTAAATATAGAAAAAATTTTCTTGTTTGTAACGTTCTTTATGCCATAAAGTTTGTTACTAAATTTTTTGAAAAAATATCTTTTAGTGATACTTCGTTACAGTTTCGGAAAAAAACCCTAATTAAGTTTTTTCCGAAATAATTAATTGCTTTTTTGTATGAAAAACACAATATTTTTCAATCTTAGCATGTTTCGTAGTCTACCACACTACACTTTCAAAATGGTGATGACAAGTTTAAATTATCTTCTTTTTTCCACGGACATATAATTTTTTTCTTCTCTTTATTTTATATCTTACATATCTTGATTTTTACATAATAAGATAACAGGAAAAAAAGCAATAACAAAAAATGTTTTGCCCCCCCCCCCTATATATATATATTATAGTATATATATAGTATATATAGTATAATATATACTATATAATATATATAGCATATATATATATATATACTATAATATCTATATATATATATACTATAGTATATATATGATATATATATATATACTATATATATATATAGTATACTATTATAGTATATATAACTAGTATATATATATAGATATAATATATATATATATATAATTATATATATATAGTATATATATATGATATATATATATATGCAGTGCTCGAAGAAGAGAAAAAAGGGAAACAGGTTAGTATTCGGTAAATTAGAAATACAATCCGGCCTAATCCGGCCTAAAGTTTAAAGCTATTATTAGCTTTAATTTTGCAAACTGGAAAAAGTGTAAATTGACATTAGTGCGCCAAACAGGTTTGCAAACAATACGAATAGACATAAGTGCAAAATTTCATTAAGTACAAAACAGTTACAAAAACTAACAGAAGTGCGAACTGACATAAGTGAGTGTAACGAATTGGAAAACATTGGCCTATGTGCTAGTTTGCAGTTATGCTAGTTTGCACTTATGCAAATTTTGCAAGTTTCTTTGGCACACTTATGATAGTTCGCATTTATGCCGTTTGCATTTTTGCCAGTTTTGGCAAACTGCTTCGCACATGTGCTAGTTTGCACGTAGGAAATTCACAGTTATTCAGCCATCCCATTATGGTAAAATGGCTTAGGTAGAGCCATGCATAAAATTTTTATTATGGAATATAAGATGGGAGTAATATCATAAAATTAAACAGAGAATTTATAGGAACGCATTTTTAATTTACTAATCTCTTCATCATAACTATTACAAGTTTTTGACAGTTCTTACCACCAATATTTTGATCTCTTTGTTTTTAATAGAAAGAAATAATGGAAAAACTGACAATTCCTAATTAAGTATTAAAAATTATTGCAAAGAAAATTTAAAAAAAAAAAAAATCTGTCAAATCAGTATTTAGCAATTTACAACTGCAGAGCTACTACAGAGTTGCTAGATGAAAAATTATCAAGTGCTGAGTCAAACTTATCAATTTCTATTAGGGTGTTCATTTTAGTTACTACTTCTTGTTCACACTATTTTATATTAATTTTTTTGCATCCTTTGGTTTTTATCTCATTTAAGAGAAGCAACACACAATATTGAAAGTCTAAACAAATTTGCAATAATTAAATTTTACAGTCTTAACAAAACTATGTAAATAAATTTAAAATATGTATTTATTATTTATTGACCTACAGAACACAAGCATAAAGAATATTTGAATTTCATCTACTAACTTGTTTTCTCATGCAGCAATTTTACAATTAAAAAATTTTTACAAACTTCTTTACAGAATATTAATTTTAAGAATAAAATAGAGTATGTAGTATGGTATATAATATTTTAGGTTTCATACTGCCAAATATTTGGTAATAACACCAGAATATCATCTAAGATTAAAAATCTTAAAATGACATTTTGAACTAAGTCACTCACTTTCTTGAAACAATTTATCTTAATTTTTCCTTTCAGCTTTTGCAAGTATAGTTTTTCTTCTAAAACAACCACTGATATTATGATTTTTTAATTTTAGAGTTAAAGAAGAAAAATTCTGAGAATATTGTTTCCTTTTCTCAAATCCAAGAGAATTTTTTTGCATTAAAAGCAGTTGATAATTAAGTAGAATTAAAAACTTAATCTAGTTTCTTCAACAATCAAGTTTACTCAACAATTAAGTTATTTAATAAAGTAAAATAATCTAGTTAACCACACAATAAAAACTGTATTAATTATATCTACTTCAAGTAGATATGATTAAAAATAATAATTTTCTCTCTCTCTCTCTCTCCCTCTCTCTCTCTCTCTCTCTCTCTCTCTCTCTCTCTCTCTATATATATATATATATATATATATATATATATATATATATATATATATATATATATATATATATATATATATATATATATATATATATATATATTATATATATATATATATATATATATATATATATATATATATATATATATATATATATATATATATATATATATATATATATATATATATATATATATATATATATATATATATATATATATATAGTCAGTTCAATGTCCATACAAGAAAATAGTGTCGTTATGTTGCTATGAGATAAAAAAATTTTTGTATCGTCAGCAAACATAACTGCTATCAAATTGGATGCTTCATAAAGGTTGTTTATGTAAATGAGAAAAAGTAAAGGTCCGAGTACAGATTCTTCAGGAACGCCGCATGTAATTTTTAATAATTTAGATCGAGATGATTGGTCAAAATAAACAAGTTGTTTTCTATTGCTTAAATAACTTTTTATTAGCTTAAGAAAATATCCTGTAAATCAATAATATTTTAGTTTTTTGAAAAGGATTTTATGGTCAATTGTATTAAACGCTTTTGATAGGTCAATAAAAATTTCTAAAGTAAATTTTGACTTATCAAAAGGAATCTGTATTTTACTGAGTTATTTGAAGAATAGCGTGTTCAGTGGAGTTATTTTTCTTAAAATTACATTGAATTTTGTACAGTATATTATTTTTTGACAGATGTTGAAAAGTTTCGTTATAAAGAATTCTCTCTAAAATTTTTGAAAAAACAGAGAGAACAGAAATAGGACGGTAATTACCAATATTCAACAACTCTCCTCCTTTAAATATTGGTGTAACTTTCGCTATTTTCAACTGATCAAGAAATATTCCTTGATCAATTGAACATTTAAATACTTTATATAGAGCATCTTTTATGGTTTCATATGAGTTTATAATCACATTTCCGCTAATATCATCATGACCTTTTGCTTTATTTGACTTTAGCAATTTAAATGCTTTATCAAGTTCATCAAAGGATAATTTAAAAAAAGTCTAGACAAGACACTAATTGAAAATTAAGAGTTTTATTTATTTTTGGTTCCACTCGAATATTTTTTGATAAATTTTATCCAACTGATATAAATTATGTGTTTATTTTATCAGCTATTAATCTCGGGTCATAAAAAATTTCATTATTAATTTTAAGAGCATTGGGTAACGAGTTTGATTTTGATTTCTTA